AATTCGCATAGTATAAAGGTAAACATACCTAGGTACTTAGGTTGTTAACAATAATGAAATATTATTACGAGTGAAAAAAAAACTGAATAAAAATATAAGAACATTATATTATATAGCAATGCACCAATTCCTCAGATTTTTCCTTTCACTATATACACGAACCGACTGGAGACCGTTTCACTTTCACGGCTAATGTGGCTCGCCACTACCACCTACCACCACCTGCATGTACACACATATTATACCGGGTCGACAATACACGCGTCGAACATTTACCAAGTGCGAAAAATAAAAATCATAAAAAGAACAGACCGCTCGGACTTTGCTATTGTATATATTATTATTGTTCACACGGACATTTTCTCGAACGCGTAGATATTATAATATATATTTCTATATTATAATAATACTATACAAGTGCAGCGTTGTTATATCGATGTAAACAGTGGTTTTTTCGTGTTTTTTTTTTTTAAATTAATTATATCCTATAGCAATTTTCTCTGTTTCTATAATATTTACCTAATATACCTGTATTATACCTGTATAATACTCGTCGATGTTCTACGAGCGTATACATTTTTGGTTTTTTATACACATGTTCGATCTTGCGGTATTCGTGTACAGGGCGATCAATATATCTAACGCATAATACACTCATCACCTCTAAAAGTATTAACTTCTTTTGGTTTTTATTTTTGGAAAATGTATGTTTATTCATTTGTTAATGTTACATTATTGTTATTTTTTGTCACTCTTTGTTTAGGGATGAAACCACTACCGCATTTTTGATTTTCAAATAGAAACCTATGTATATTAAAAATTCCATGAATAGATGGAAACTTTAGTTCAAGTAAAAGTTGGTGTTAGTATTTTTTAAATCTGTCGATCCACTGACGGTATATTTCACTTTTAAGTTTGTCATTTCGTGTGTAGAGAAAGGAGAGAAGTACATAAAGTGGAAACATCGTTTATGCTGCGTTTAAATAGTGCTACATCGAACGAAAATCTCAAAAGTGGAAACTTCAAATATAAAGGTGCAAATAATACGGGTTATGTAACATTTTTAAACTACTTTTATATTGTTTCTTAGATTTTCAAAATAAAAAAGGTTAATAATTTCTGAGATAATGAGTATCTTACGTTATATCAATCACCCGATAATTCACTCTGTATATGTATATACGAGATCCCCTGCAGATCGTATATCGTCGCACATTGGTTAGCCACTATTAGTTCGTTCTGTATATTATAAACACAAGAGGGAGTTAAAAAAAAAAAAAAAAATTATTATTTTTGCCACATCGTTAATGGGAAATTAATCACGGATCGGCATGAGATCCATATGGGAACGGAAGCGAGTAATATATTAAAGGTATAAAAATCCTGATATTAACTAGTTCGCTTTATATATATATATATGTACTTAACGTTTGACTATAAATTATAATGTAGGTATTTAATAATATATAAAACGTTAGGTATAGTTTTAATGAGCTGCCGTGGTAATAAGAATATATACAATCTCAGAAGCGTTAAAATATACCTATGTATAGTAGGTTAAAAAATCATCGTACACCGTAAACTAATTTTTTTTTTTTTTAATGTTTATTGTACCGGGTAACTAATAAATAGACCGGGTCAGTCACTAAAAATGTAAAACAACACTTTTACCTATAATATATATAATTAAATAAGCCTTATAGGAAAATTGATAGTTAATTTAATATAATATTACTAATTCTCGACAGGAATTGCTGCAGTAGGACACCCGAAGGTGAGAAAGTTAATTGAAATAATATATTAACTCGATTAAGTTAAATTAAATTGACCATATAAAGTTTTAAGTTTATAACAAATACATTAATGCGATTTATACTGAATTTTAACTATATTATATTCAATGTTTACACCATTAGTGGTCACTAATTTCCACTGTGTTTCATTAACGTCCTGAATTAAATGTATTTGACACGGACAATTAAAAAAAAAAATAGTTTTTAATAAAATAAAATGACTTGCCTATATATTCACATACTACACGTCTTATTTTAAATCAATGTGATCACAATTGAAGTTGTGACGAAACAACGTAAAGAAAAGTTTAAATAGAAGGAACGAGGAGGGTGACTATTATTTATTATTTGCCGGTAAAATATGAAATATATTTGAAATAAAAATAATTTATTATTGGAATTCAAACTGATATTGAAAATATTACGTAAATGTGATACCTGTAAAAGGCGATGCTAAACACACATAAACCATTAGAATAAATCGTAAATAAAATAAAATTTAAATATACCTACGTGACTACATTTAATTATTATTATTAAATTACATTAATAAACTATTATTATTATTTATTTTTTTTAATTATATATAATTTTCTTTGTTGAATTTAGTTCTACTTCATTATAAGTATTAATACTTAATACTACAAATACATCATTACAGTTTCAAACCAGAATATTATTAATTCCTTCGCGTACACACTAAAATAATTATAATACGAACGGCTAATCTCAATACTGAAAGTGAAATTATATGTAATAATGTAAATTTAGTTACCGAGCTGGTTCCAAGCAATTCATATAGGTAGGGTATTGCAACATTATAATACTGCCGTCACGACATTATTCTGACGTAACATTTTTTTAAACTTATTAACGGTATAATTTTGTTACCTACTAATAATAACTATATATACAACATAACTGACCTATGAGATATATACGAAACACTATAGCCACTAGTTATATTATGGCCATGGCAGCCGGCAGGGTTACCACAATATTAACACTCATATTATAATAAAGGTCGTGAACAGGTCATGCGCAATACTAATTTCTACAAATGACTAATACAATTTATTATTAAAAAGAAATTCTTTTGACTTCTGACTCCACTGAATGAAATGTGAACTGTAGTTCACTAAATGTATCGAGATTGAAGAACTTAAGTTAATTTCGTAAAACAAATGTGGACAGAAATTATGAAATTATGGAAAAACTAGAGAAAATTAGGGAAAAAAATGACGTTTTGATAAAAAAAACTTTTTACAGGTACCTCATATCGAATCAGTGGCGTACAGGGATAGAGGCGTGAAGGGGTTTCAACCCTCAATTGACTGTATTAAAATTTAAAAATAAATTCTTGCATTGCTTTGCACATATTATAATTTCTATTCACTATGTTTAGCCCTCTCCTTCCTCCATTGAAAAATCGCAGGTACGTCACTACTCACTTCGTGAATTTAAAAAAATCAAATCTAACGCCGTGTCATATAAATTAATAATAATGAAAAAAATAAGAAATAAAACTTTGAGACAATTATATATGTTGAATAGAAATATTAATGTGTACATGCATTCAATCTCATTGTTAATAGGTATTGTAAGACGAAAACAAAACGTTCAGCTTGCCATTATGATTCGCAGAGACAATATTATATAACAAATTGTTATTAACAATAATATAGTAATAATAAATAATAATAAAATGAAATATCCGATCCATAAAAACCATTCGTCATGGACACCAACAACACTATATTATTATTATTATTATTATTATTATTATTATTATTATTATTATTATTATAAGGGCGTGCTCGATTTATCTACGCCAAACGTGAATAGCAAAACATATATCGTATTATATCATAAGCGTTAAAAAAATTGATAATCAATTAGATCAACCTATAACATAATATTCTACCTTTTTGTCGGTGTGATTTTGTTTGAATTTTTCCTTATCGGTTTTTTTTTTTTTTTTATTATTTTTCCTTACTATTAAAACGTTTGCTGTATTTTCTTAAAATGTATTATCTGGGCAGATTTGTTTGATATAACACATACCGGCTGCATCCGAATGGTTCCGAAACGTCCGCATTGGTTCCAAAATTGTCACGAAGGGTTCATCCTAATTGGTTCGCAAATTATTTTAATTTCAATTTTTCTTCCCATTTCATACAGACTCAGAACTTTTAAATTATGGTTATTTAATATACCATGAGCCTCGCTCATTATTTTGGGCAACGTTTGTACTGTACTATACCGACATACCATAAATATTTTTTCTAATTCTAAATTCTAATAAGTATATCTTGAGCATCTATGATTTCAATATCGAATTTAGTCAATTCAAAGCGAATAATTTTTACTGGGCGTTCATGTAATACTACTTGGGCTTTTTTGAACTGTTGCTTAATTTCTGGCCGTTAAGTTTTCAACGCCGTTCTTTTCATGATTATGTGTTATACTTTTATCAACAATTAAATTAAAATTATTTATTTTCAAATATGATTTACATTTTCTTTGTACACATGTCCAACAGTCAATGCTGTCTGCCAACTTTTTTTGCAATCCAAATTTAAAACATTCTCAAACGACAAGTTTTTTATTTTTTTACTGTACACAAATTCCATATAGGTACTATATGGGTACTATATAGGTATCTATTTAAGGAATAAGTTTTAAAGGCAAACAAGTATGTACACAGTGTGCTCTATGGTTAATTTACCACTAAAAACGCTGCATTTAATGCAGATACGAGTAACACTCTTTCGTCCGTATCGACCGATTTTATCACGGTTTTTATCGATGTATACTAAATTATCTAAATGAAAATTTATCACAACACCTATATAGATATATTGGCTAACTATTAGATTAATATTAAATACTATTAAATTTATTATATTTCGCCTTTTTCAAAAGTGTTTACCGGGAACCAATTCGGAAACTGAATATACCAATATAATATCTTGTAGTGAACGAAACGTACGCGATATTTTATAATTTTACTTATCTGCCATAATATACCTACCATAATACTCGTATATCTAAATAAAGTACCTATGTATATTGTGTATATATATCATTTTCAGCGATACGGCGGAAATATAATGTAATTAAACTAAATAAAAACTGAATATAAAGTGTATTTGCCATTTATTTTGTATATGAAGAAAAATGTAATCTTTTATATTTTTTAGCACAATGACTTCACTCCAGCGTTTATCGTTCGTTCCGTCCGTGAATAATATGTCACATCAAAGACTTCACGACAGTGACGAAAATAATTCTTCGGACGATGACGAAAATTCGCCTTTAACCCAAGACTTGTATGGAGGAAGGTAATTCATATACTTACGTATAATTTTTAAAGAAACTGGTCTAATATTATTTTGATTTTTGTAATATCTTAAGTATTCTATAATTATTACAAAATACAAATGTATATTATATCCATAGTCAGAGGACTTTGGCAGACACCAAAGCATGGGATGTTTTCCGAGATTTACCCCCGCGCAGCGACAGCGGATCTATGGCCAACCAAGCGTGTCTCGAATTCACCGTGCGTGTGTTAAAAATCCTAGCGTATTTGACCACATTTGTGATTGTCTTATGTTGTGGTGTTATGGCCAAGTCTAGTATATTTTTTATGACATCGCAAATTAGAGCCGACCGCGTTGTTACATTCTGCAACAAAGAACTTAGTAAGTTTGCTTGTTTTACAAAATAATAGTATGCGCACTGACGCAAGTTTATATTTAAATATACCTATTAATTTTAACCTTATTTTATCGCATAGGCCGTGATAAATTTTACGTAGTTAACCTGCCGATGGAAGAACGAGTAGCCTGGATATGGTGTCTTTTGTTGGCATTTATCGTCCCAGAAATTGGAACTTTAATCAGATCATTAAGAATTTGTTTTTTTAAATCGTGTAAACGACCTCCGTTATTTGATTTTGTCTTTGTTCTTGTCATGGAAACTCTATACGTCTTTGGCTTGGTTATGCTGGTGTATGTCGTTTTACCGAACCTAGACGTTATCAAAGGTGCAATGCTTACCAATTGCCTTTGTTTCGTGCCAGCTTTACTCAGTAAGTTGACACGTATGTTATTGTTTATAGATCAATCAGTAAAGAGTCGGTATATAATTTTAAATTTACAGATTTATTATCGAGAACAACAAAAGGATGCAAAACAAATTCAGAAAAATCTGAAGTATACGCAAAAGTTTTAATGGATCTCATTGCTGTGGGATCACAAGCAACCGGTTTCTTTTTATGGCCTCTTTTACATCCGGAAAAACAAATGAACAACCTAGTCATCCCAATTACAGTCTTTTGTATTTCTTGTGGTTACTGGGAAAATTATACAACCAAAAATACATTATTTGGTAAACTATAGTATTAATTAAGAGTATAACATCAATAATAATAAATTATTTTAGCTACTACATTTGCATTTGCTAAAATTGTTGTTCTGATTTATTAGGATTTATGAAGTTTGCATATCATATTAAAGATCGAATGCGACGAACACGTTATTTCATCTATATGCTCATGTCTGTTTGGAAAATGTTATGTTTCTTATGTTTTATGTTAGTGATTATGTTCATTAAAGGGGAAAATGTAACACAAATTATTTCACTGGTTAACGTTGGATTTTCCCAACACAAAATACAAGTTCTTGAGGTAATTACAGTAGAATCAATTTTATATTTGGAGTAGATCTCCTGTATTCTTTAACAATATATCGTTGTGCAATTTTTCTTAGGTGAATCAAGTAACACGAAGTGGTACTATTTTACCGGATCTTGCTGATATCGTTACAACAGGAGATTCAGTTGACATTGATGCTAAATATATTACTGCGGTACATGTACTTCTAATACAAGTCATATCTGCATATCTTTGTTATATATTTGGTACATTTTTATATTAATTCAAAAACTAATTGATATTTATACAAATTAAATATAATTAATATCGACATGTGTGTGTGTTATGTGTTATGTGACATTTTTCGAGCAAAAATCTCTCGTGATTAATTTTAATTATGGTTTTATTTCATCAATAGGTAAATTCGCTTGCAAAATTATGATTCAAGGATTCAGTTATGCGTTCCCAGTAAATCTCACAGTACCAGTCACTATGTCTGTATTGATAGTTGCATGTGGTTTACGTCACGACGATCCTTGTTTTTTCCACAATTCGATTCCGGATTACTTATTTTTCGATTCACCTGATGTCAATTTTTTAAACAATTTTATTACAAAAGAAGTAATTTTGTTTTTTTATTATAAATATAAAATGTACACTACACTACTTTTTGTTTAGCATGTTTGGGTATGGTTACTGTGGCTTTTATCACAAACTTGGGTAACATTACATATTTGGACACCAAAATGTGAACGTCTAGCGACTACTGAAAAACTGTTTGCAAGACCAATGTACGATTCTTTACTAATAGATCAATCGTTAGGGATGAACAGAAGATTTGACGACGAAAAAGACGTTAAAACAGAAGTAAAACATTTTACATTTTATTCATTTATAGATATTTATATAGTTATTTAATCTAATATTTTTACGAGTCCAGGACTTGGCTGACCGAGAAAAAGAACCAGATGAATATTATGAAACAATATCAGTACACACGGATGTCAGTAGTACAACACCTAAAACTGTAAAGAAATCTGACAACATAACTAGGATTTACGCTTGTGCAACCATGTGGCACGAAACTCATGAAGAAATGATGGAGATGTTAAAGTCGATCCTCCGAATGGATGAAGATCAGTGCGCCCGCCGAGTGGCCCAGAAATATTTACGAGTAGTCGATCCAGATTATTATGAATTTGAAAGTGGGTTAAATTTTATCTATAGGTACACGTAAACGATTCAATTAATATTCTAAAATGCAATTATTTCTGTTTAGCGCACATATTCATGGACGATGGATTCGAGATCAGTGACGAGAACGACGATTGGAATCAAGTGAATAGGTTCGTAAAACTTTTGGTGAGCACAATCGACGAGGCGGCCACTCACGTGCACGAGACAAATATTCGTATCAAACCTCCAACCAAATATCCCACACCGTATGGTGGTCGATTAGTGTGGACGTTACCTGGAAAAACTAAACTCACTGTACATCTAAAAGACAAGTCCAAAATCCGACACAGGAAACGGTGGAGTCAAGTTATGTACATGTATTACTTGCTTGGTCATCGATTAATGGAACTGCCGATTTCAGTTGAACGAAAAGAAGTTATTGCTGAAAATACATTTCTGTTGACACTCGACGGTGACATTGATTTCCAACCACACGCAGTTAGGCTTTTAATCGATTTGATGAAAAAGAACAAAAATTTGGGTGCTGCTTGTGGCCGAATTCATCCAATCGGAGGAGGTAATACACTCGAAGATTATTTGTATACCAACCGCAAAAGCTATATTTTTATTAAATTTTGTTTAGGACCATTGGCGTGGTATCAAATTTTCGAATATGCGATCGGTCATTGGCTTCAAAAAGCCACCGAACACATGATCGGTTGCGTTCTTTGTAGTCCTGGATGTTTCTCGCTGTTCAGAGGCAAAGCGCTTATGGACGATAACGTCATGAAAAGATATACGATGAAATCTGACGAAGCCAGGCATTACGTACAATACGATCAAGGTAATATTAACTTGATCTAAAAATACTAAAAAAGATTTATAGAAGCATTACAATTTTTATTTATTTTTGAAATAAGGTGAGGATAGATGGTTGTGCACGTTGTTATTACAGAGAGGGTATCGGGTGGAATATTCAGCTGCTAGTGATGCGTATACTCATTGTCCTGAAAGCTTCAATGAATTTTACAATCAACGTAGACGTTGGGTACCGTCAACAATGGCAAACATCATGGATTTGCTTATGGATTATAAAAAAACGATAAAAATTAACGATAACATTTCAATGCCCTACATCAGCTATCATGTAATTAATATTAACATCTAATTACTCTAAAGTATTTTTTTTCTTAATATATTTTTTTACTATTTTCAGATTATGTTAATGGGTGGTACCATTTTAGGACCAGGTACTATATTTCTTATGTTGGTAGGAGCCTTCGTGGCCGTATTTCATATCGACAATTGGACGAGTTTCTATTATAATATCATACCCATAGTATTATTTGTTTTTGTATGCTTCACGTGTAAATCAAATATACAGGTAAATTATAAATATTATTACTGAGGTTAAGTATAGGCCCAAAAATTTAAATTTCTGTGTCGGTGAACAATATTAATAAATTCGAAATTTGTTTCGAGAAGGATATTTTAATTATTTGATCTTTTGTCCATAGTTATTATTGGCGCAAATCCTATCAGCTTTATATGCGCTTGTTATGATGGCTGTAATTGTCGGTACAGCTCTACAGCTGGGCGAGGACGGTATCGGTTCGCCGTCTGCAATATTTTTAATAGCTATGATGAGTTCGTTCATTATAGCGGCACTTCTCCATCCGCAAGAGTTTTCTTGTATTATCTACTTCGGTATATATTGGCTATCGATTCCATCTATGTACTTGTTATTAATATTGTATTCGATAATAAACCTCAACATCGTCACATGGGGAACGAGAGAGGTTCAAGTAAAACGGACCAAAAAAGAAATGGAAGCCGAGAAAAAAGCCGCCGAAGAGGCAGAAAAAAAAAACAAACAAAAGTCAATGCTTGGGTTTTTGCAAAATTGGGACCCGAATGACGACAATGAAGAAGGATCTTTCGAACTGTCATTTGCCGGACTATTCAAATGCATGTTTTGCACTTATCAAAAACCGGTAAACGAAGGCCAACAGCTGGTGAGAATAGCGGATTCGTTGGAAGGTCTCGGGAAACGAATGGATCACATGGAAAAGTGAGTACTTTGTGGTACTTCGTTTGTAAAATACGGAATAAGTATATGTGATGTAATTGATTTGTGACATTTTCTATAGAACTATAATGGACCCGACGGCCGTGAACCGTAAGAGAAACACTTCGACTGCAAGCGTACCACATCAAATCGCTCTGGACCCGGTCCAAGAGGAACCATCTGTAAACGAAGACACCGAGGAGGAAACTGACGAGGAATCTTTGGGTATAATACTTTTTATTATATTAGATCGAACTTATTTTATTGTGACTGGTGTTTAATATAATCACGAAACGTATTGTTCGATTAGAACCCAGAATAGAACGCAACGACGACATAAATCCGTTCTGGATCGAAGACAAATCGTTACGAAAAGGTCCGGTGGCGTTTTTATCGGTGGCTGAACAACAGTTCTGGAGAGATTTGATAGACAAATACTTGTACCCGATCGACGAAGACAAAAACGAAAAGGCCCGAATCGCATCGGACTTGATTGAACTGAGAAACAAGTCTGTGTTTTCGTTTTTCATGATCAACGCTCTGTTTGTACTCATCGTGTTCCTGCTCCAGTTAAACAAAGACAAACTTCATTTGGACTGGCCGATCGGCGTCAAAACGAACATTACTACGATCGCAGCGACTTCTGAAGTACTTACTCATCCACACTTCAATACGATACTTTTTCTTAACAATTTAAGTACCATATACAATTACAGTAAAAAACCATATAAATTTTCCAGATCATTGTCAGCAAAGAGTACTTGCACTTGGAACCCATCGGTTTAGTGTTTGTGTTCTTTTTCGCGTTTATTATTGTAATACAGTTTACGGCTATGTTGTTTCATCGGTTCGGTACGCTGTCGCACATACTCGCTTCGACCGACCTAAACTTGTGTTGTGTCAATAAGGTAAGCCGAAAAGAAAATATCCATCAGATTTTTCGTAAAACATTTTAGTTGTATTAACGTTTGTCTCCCGGACTATAAATAGACTGAAGATTTAACCCACGACGGTCTTCTGGACAAACAAGCAGTCGTCATCGTGAAACACCTTCAACGTCTGAGGGGCATCAACGGTGACTACGACAACGAGTCGGGTTCTAGTGGCGATAACGTGGGCCGTCGACGAACCATTTACAATCTGGAAAAACAACGACAAAAGACCCGGACGATCGGCACGCTGGACGTGGCTTTCCGCAAGAGATTTTTGCAAATGAAAATGGGAGAGGACGAAGATGAACCACAAGGTATACTTACATGCTAAATAAAAAAAAACATACCCTTTCTTAATAGATCCCCACAAAAAAAAACGTAAACTGTTATAATAGTATACTTATAGTACAAATAAAATGGGCATGGGTATCGGTTGTATTTATGTAAGCTGCTTTTTCAAAAGAACCGTCGGGTTATCAGACATTTTATATCCGTTTCCGTAGGTGGTACGCCTGTACTGGGCAGGAAGCTGACGATGGGTAAAGAAGTGCGGCAAGCATTGGAAGTGAGAAGAAGATCGATGCAGGCGGAAAGACGCAAGTCTCAGATGCAAACTCTTGGCGCGCACAACGCGTTCGTGCAAACCCAAAGACAGTCGAACGCGGGTATCAGCGTCAAAGACATATTTAAAGGCAGTCAAAATCCCGGGTACGAACACCACGAAGACGACGAACTGCCAATGAAAGCGATCAACTAATAATAATCAAAAAGAAGAAAAAAATGCCCCTTTGAACAACGTTCGGACGCCCCAATAATAGCGTTTCTAGTCAAAACGTATTTTTTTTTATTTTTTTTTTTTAAATTGCGCCATTCGAGTATAGATAATATTATTATGATAATACGAGTATTGTTTTGAGAAAAAAGTGCTTTTCGGCAAAACAAACGTATATGTCAGAAGCCTCTCTTTCTATGGAATTTTAGATGATTGAAACGACCGCGTGAAGAATAATTCGCCTAGGTAACAAACCTATATATTTTATAATGTTATTATATCGATGCGTTCCCGTTAGTAGGCGATACCTATCCCGCCTACTCGTATAACTATGTGAATCGATAATAAGTATATGTCTTTAAACACGAGCCTACTTAATTTTTGTATTTTTTTAACTTATAATCATAAAATATCTACGTATAATATATTATAATACATTGCTCATTTTGTACACTATTATTATATTATATTTTATAGGTACCTAATTATCTTTGGTTAAAAACACGTGATAACATAAAGGTAAAGTGTCTTCTAAATTGCAAGTTTATAGAAAACGGTGAGGTACTTTAGAGAGGTAATTTTTCGATTTTCTCAAAAATGTGAAAAACCAAAAAAAAAAATGGAGGAAAAACGGAAAAAAAGTAAGAAATGTAAATATTAGCTAAAAGTATTATGGCCTTTTTTTTTAATGCTCAAGTTAAACACATACATTCAAGGATGTATAATACTATAGCTTATTCAAACTATCAAATACTATTCGATAGTCCTCATCACAAATTATAATATTAATGTGACGATTTTTGTCACATTCGGCCTTGAAATTTTACTCTTAGCGCGCACAAAGAAAAGAAAGAAACACTTATAAGGAACGAGGAACAAGAACGAATTTCTTTTTGAAAGAAACTTGTCCAACACTGCTTCAGACTAAGATTTCTAGTAGGATTTTTGTATACAGTATAAAAAGATACTTCGTATGTGGGTGCAGCATTGTTGTTGGTGAGAATTTGGGAATGTAGGATACAGAGGGGAAATTCATTTTTATCTGTAAGCAACGATAAACTATTGTGAACGAAAAACGATTCTGAGCAAAGTTCAATTGATAGTGTTGCTTTGTCAACAATATATATATCATATTATGGTAAAATAATTGCATATGCACTAAACATGTTCTTTAATATTATTTGTTTAATGTCATACCTATTTTCCCGTTCTCCCATTTTCCCTCTGTTTTTCCAGTTTTTTACAATTTTTCAAGAAAAATCGCAAAATTAAAATGTCTATAAGTAGCTCAAAAACGGCTTACATTTTTTGAAAATTTTACCACATCTAGAAAAGTAAATATAAGAGTTTTCTGTTCAAATTTAAAGTCTACAAATATTTTTAACTGAATTACAACAAATAACATAATTGAAAAAATAATAAAGCATTATTTTTGTAATTTCCCGGTTTTCTTACATTTTTTCTCACTTTTTCGCTTTTATTGGGAAAACTACCCTATTAGAAAAAATCAAAAATGTATTCTCTATAATACCACCCCAAGACAATTTCCTTTCAGAAAAGGGTCTACATTGTGTCCATCAGAACAAGATTTCTGGTAGAATTTGTGTACACAGTATAGACAAATTAAAAATAAATATCATTGTAAAACCAATACATTCCTCGCTCCGCTCAGAATCTGAAAAGATCTAATTAAAAAATTGGAATATTTTAAGTTTTGGAAAAATCAAAAATCAAAAAGTAGGAGAGTCGATCAAACAGGTAGATTTGATGACAAATTACAATCTGCTTTCAGAATTATTATTATCACTTTACTAGATCAACCGTTACGTTGGAGAATTCGCCAGATACTACACAGTCGCATACATATAATACGAATACGTACCACAAGAGCAATCTGTTGACGTTCAACCGAAACACTACAGCTAAACAAAGAACAACTCGATTTTATTCCTCGCTTGTATTCAATTTCTGAGACCATCGTGTATATATTATATCAGATGCGAATTTATATTCGTACAATCTTTTTGTTATAATGCACTAATCTATGATGCGTTGTTACATGTAAGGTAGTGTAACCAATAGTGTTGTATATACCACTTTCAAATAGAGCTTGTCAATGATTTCTCATACATAGGATGATATACAGGCGTACAACGACTTGAAAAGCAATCACGAGTAATAATACCGACTGTGCTCGTTTGTATTTTATGTATTAAAATATGTATAATAAAAATATTTTATATTCAAATGAAATATTCGTTTTATATTAAATCAATAGGATTGTTTTTAGATTCTGAATTTAACTAAGAATGTATTGGTTTTACAAAGATGTTTATTTTTTTTTTAACACTTTTTTTACCAGAAAGCATATTCCAATTATCAAGTGCAGCATCTTTTCTGAAAGGAAATGATCTCTGGGTGGTACTTAAGAGAGGTAATTTTTTTGAAATATTCTCATTAATATTCGAGATAATGAGAAAAACCTGGTTCTTTAGGATAAAAAATAATGGAAGATTACAAATAACGTTATCATTGTCAACAGTTTTTATTTATTTTTTGTTATTATTTTAATGTTTTTTAAACAATCATTGTTGTCATAGAAACGCACATTGTTATAGTCATTTCACCATAATATTGCATATACCATATATTGTATTGTTGACAAAGCAACACTATCAACTGAACTCCACTGCAGTCCACTCAGAATCGTTTTTTCGGAAGCAATAATTTATCGTTGCTTACAGATGTACATTAAATTTCCGACTGTAACCTACCTCCCTAACTTCCCACCTACAACAGTGGCTGCACCCACGTGCTAAGTATAACAATGTTTTTTTTTTTTTTAATTTTCCTCGATTATACATACTATATCGTGTATTAATGCCTGTACAATTTTGAAATTTATCGAAACATTTTACTTATTCTGGAACTCACGTCGTATGCTATCTACACAAACGTTGATCGCGTTGTATGTGTTATCTACGTCTCGGTCGATAAATGTGGGTTGGATATTGACGATGTACTCTTTTGATGTCTCGTAGTAGGTAGGTATAATTATGTATATGGTAGTATGATATCGGCCAAACCCGATTTCTGGATTAAATAGTTATTCTTTACATCAGATGTGTTTAACCTTTAAAACACTAGTTTACATGTATATAAATTGTACGGTCTAACACTCTAACCAGAAACCGATAGAGAAAATTAAATCTACTCCAATGGGGGTTTTTTTTTTTTTTGGAACACTTTGTTTTAACAATAATAAGAAGTGAAAGTCGTTTTTAGATGTCAAAAAAAAAAAAAAAACAGCGAAAGGGATTGTGTATAGATTGCGGTTGCGGTAGATATGTTTTTGGTGTAGATAGCATAAGACACAAATTCCAATATTCCTTATGTGTATATTAAATTTGAATCTATATAGTTATTCAACAATAATTCCATCATATTGAAATATCATAATATTTAAAGTTTATAAAGTCAATTTTATACGGTTTATGTTTTCTACCAGAAAAGTTGTTTACAGAAATAAAAATAAACATCATTACAAAACAAATACATTCCTTGTTCCACTAAGAATCTAAAAACACTAACAGAATTAAAAAACCATTTAAAATTAATCACTACAGGTATATTAAATAATTAACAAATAATTTTTAACTGCGATAAAAAGTATACAGTAAATATATTTTAAAACACTGAGAGGTAAATTTGGACGGTTTGGCTGTAATGGCCATCTGTGTTCCACGTAAATATTGTTTACAATTTGTTGCCTCAGCTTATTTGCTAAACTGGCGTACTTGCTAATATTAATGTTTAAACTTACATATCATGTTTTATGAGTTTGTATTAGCATATAAAATAGTAAGTACAAAAATAAATGTGACTATGTTAATATCACTTTATTATACGAACATCTATAATTAATTACTTAATTCAAAATATTAATACTGGTTTTATAATTTTAATTTAATATGTATCAAATTACGTATCTGGTGCAATATCTGATCGTTTTTAAAGAACTGTATACATGAACAAAATAATTACTTAAGCAATAATAATTTGTTTACATTACTGAATTTAAATATCGTATGAAGGTAATCCTGCTTTTCTTTTTTTGAAATGTTCAGCGTGTTTTTCTGGTGGTAAATAATATGGTGCCACAACCTTGTCAGCTATCATTAAGGTTTTCCAATCAGCCTTCATTGAAATATTGTATGGATATTAAAGTTTGATAGTAAATTTAATATCATAAGCTCGAAATACTCACCAGTTTGGGAAATTCTTGGACAAAAGGAATAATGTATGTTCCATTGGTATAAGGATTAATGGCATCCAACCGCTCAAACCAAGGCCATATCATATAATCAACCATATTCGGGCTAGCACCTAAATTAATATTATTTAAACAAATTAATTAATAAATAATAATACTATTTTAATGGTTTTGTAGTTATTTCATACAAAGTCAAAGGTATAATAAATCATTTTATTATTAAAACTTACCTCCGAAAAACGTTGATCCTCTCTGTACGAGTTCGGCTTCAATTGGTTTTAAACTATAGACAAGCTCATCAAAATTTGGTTTTTCTGGTTCGGATGTTGTCATCATTAGTTTATAAAATGCTAATCCAACCTAAAACATTAAAATGTATTAGATTAGTTTAAAAAATCAAAATTTTACACACATAACAACATTACAAAATCCAAATTATTTGTATAATATGTGTTGAATTACTTAAGGATGCTGTCAATGATCTTGATACTAAGTATGCAATCATTTTGATAATTTATAATAATATAAAAGGATCATAATATGAGTTGTATCTGGTAGTTTCTAAATCTAATTTGTTTATACAATATTGAATTTGTATACAATTTAAATATAAATTTAATTAATTTAATGTTTATAATTAACAGTTGAATATTTTATTTTTACATATAATAATATCTTCAAATTTAATTTATACGCAAATTCTCATACAAATGATTTACTATTTTACAGATTGATTTTTTTTATGATAGTAGATATCTAACAATTATATTAACACTGAAATACTAATATATTATAACAATGGTCACATTGACATTTATTACAAATAATTATTATATTGTTTTTTTGCATATAATTGAAAACCATTAGTACTTACTTTAGCGAAATTATCAATGAAAATTTTGTCTAAAATTTTCTGCAGAGGGGTTCCATTCCACAGCCGTGGTTGCGAGTATTGTTCGTCAAGGAAATCAGCTAAATAAAGACTTTCGAACAAGAATTTATCATCATAAATTATAGCTGGCACTTTTCCGGCCGGGAAGATATCCAAGTACCATTCGGGCTTGTCCGACAAATTGATAAAAACAGTATCATGCCTATAAAACCATCGGAAGAGATTAAAATATGAAAATCTTTATAAAAAAAAAAAAAAAATACGAAAAATACTTTCCCTACGCCGGCGAGATTAAAATATAGTTTTTGAATATGTAGTCTACTCACAGTATGCCTTTAGCGTTCAAAACTAGTTGGATCCTCTGGGCATAAGGACAATAGCGCATTGAGTAGAAGCGTATGGAGTCTGGCACAGTGGGCGGACAGACGGAACCTGAAAATTTAATTACAAATTTGTAGACTATACCAGTATTTATTTCCCCTAAAAAAAATACCAGTATAAAATAGAGAAATTTGTTAGTGATGGTGGTACAAAATATCTTTTAAACCAGTAGTTTTTTTAACCCGCCTTGCAACATGGGTCAAATATTTTATACCAGTATAATTACCTCCTTTTCAAGCGTTCCTATTGTCATCATTCATCTATTTCTTAATCGTTATCAGATTATCAAAACATAACAATTGTAGTGAATCATCATCAGTATAATCATTATAATCGTGTAAATTATTGAGTGTTAATTCATCTAATTAAGTAAATAGATACATTTTACAATAGATATTTGTAATAAGGCTTCATTAGACTAGTAGGTATCTAATACAAGACATTGACAAGTCAAGAAAAATATTTCTATATATTAAGAGGACGCCACTCACATCTACTGTCTCAATCCAACCACCCAGGCACGATTTAGAGATTTTCTCTACATCGTGCACCGGGGCGACATTTAAAAACAAAGCTTACGCAGACTAAGTAAAACTAGCTTAATTTTGATTTTAGAGTAAAAGTACCTATTATGAAATGTTTAGAGAACAATATTTTGGAAATAATCTCTTAAGTGTTTTGTGAATTATAAACTAGGTGCAAATTGTCTATTCGTTCGAGCGTTCCGAATTCCATAATCCTAATCTGCTAAAAATCTCTTACGTCCGTTAGCTCTCCCAAAAGCCATTTGCGCAAATAAATTCAAACAAACCTTTTCCCAAGTGTTTGGTCGCCATGGCGTTGGTCTCGGGTCGATAGAAAACACGAACGATTTAAAAAGGACAACGAAAACGCGAAATCTACGTGGACCAGCTGCTTCCTTGTTGAATGCTGACAACAAACAAATTTGGCTACAACTGTTTCGAGTTTGGGACGCTGAAACGACAAGTAAAGTCGACTATCTAATAGTCGACTGTCTGCTACTCGACTGCAGGCTATGGGTGTTACGTAAAGTGATCGTGATGTCCGTGAGCCGATAACTGATAGTGCTAACAACGGAACAAAAATCCACTATCAGCTGTTCTTCTTTATCTATAAACTTCGGAGACTCCGGGTCAACGACCGTCTGACGCGGAGGCGTGGAATTTTTCTTCGGTACATACCTGCCCGTCACATGTTTGCACTTGAGTGCATGACAAAATGAACTTTAAACAAAAACTAATAGTTGAAACGAAATTTATATTCTCATGTCAGGTCAGGGGAAGGGGCACGCTTGCTCCGACCTCTTTAAACAATTTGTTTTACATTTATCGAAACGATATAACAGTATATGGACTCTAATCGATTCGCGGCACAATGTAATAATATAACAAGAAAGGTGTGTCAAAAATGCTCTAACCATTCTTGAAGTTCTGTCCGATACAAATTCAGATTACAAGAATTTAATTGAATTACGCTGAATTTCTGAATGACATCAGTGGCAACAGCTCCCGTAAAAAAAGTTTTTCAAAATTAACCATATTTAACAAGCTGAACAAAATTAATATCCACGACTATATCGATAAGTCTACACAAAAAAATAAATGCGTGAGCTTATAATTTACTATTATTAGCTATATTTTGAAGCTAAAAGACAATTTATTTAAATTTTTGATGATTTTTAAAAAAAAAATGTACAATTCTTCCAATGCTATAGGTATTTAAGTAGGTAACTATCTACCAATGCACATTTACATACTAAATTTTTTTTCTTCGATTAAAATACCTATGGACAATTTTAAAAATTACTTTCCCAATTAAAATTCTTGGTTAGACATACTGTCATGTGGTATGTAAATACGCGAAACCCGTCGCGGGTTTTCATTGACTAGGAATTAGGTTGTAAGAATTAGCTTTATACATAAGTTATTAAGTTAGACAATAACAGGTTTGGAACCTGATATTTTGTAAAACTTCTAAAACCAACTAGATTATTACATTTCGGCTTGGCCCGAAATCGGATAGTTTGTATAAGTACACGTTCCGGCATTCCGGGCATCGACGTGTGATTACGTCCACAGACTATAGTGGCTGTAAGCTTTACTTAGTTAATAATTATTGATATCGACCTACTCGCTTTTAAGACCGCATTCCGAACAAATGTCTCTTTTTTCCTCGCACTATGGTTAGTACCTATTGAATGTAAGATAATATAACATGAAAATGCATTCCAAGTAGTTAGGTACCTACCTACTGAAATAGAATGAGAATGCGCTCCCAGTAAAAGTGAACCTTTATTTTGCATTTTTCGATCTTTATTGATTTTTTAGCCATTTATTAATTCATTTTAGTATAGCTGTTGTTGCAGATTAACATTTTATTTAGGTACTCTATTATAAAGCTTAAAATACATCAGATTTCACGGGACACATTTTTTAATATTCAATTGATAGAGTTGACAGATTTCCATGGATAAAAAAGAATCTATAGGAGCCAGCAGAGTAGCTCTTATTATACCTTTTTACCTCACACGTTTATGTTATTTACAAAAAGTGTGGACTAAAAGTTATCAAAGCAAATTAAATATAAGTAAGTCTAAAAAGTATTAACTGATATAAAACAATTTAAAATGAATAACATGTAATGGTTAGAGCGAGATCATTAAGTAGTTGATTGTTTGTTATCAAATTTACTGTTATTTCAACAATATTATCAATATTAAACAATATTAAAAAAAGCATATATTTCAGCCAAGTTACGAGAAATGCTTGATGTATTGATTGGAAATTGGCTTTTTTTTAGGATCCGGCATTTAAATTACTACTTCTCATAGTCTAGTTGGATAGAGAAGATTCTCTCCCATTGAAAATTCCTGGGTACGCCACTGATCCTAGATAATTTACTTAAAACTCTTGACCTCGCCTATTACGTCACCTGCACTTATTATTGTCATTATTCATCGTGCAGTTTTGTAAAGAACTCAAATAAAAGTGACTACCTATTTGAATATTTTTTTGTATTTTAATATTATTGAAAAACCCGGCAAAAATGGAAAATAAGTACAATATTAAGTAAATATTATTAAAGAAAATATATAATGCCAATTTAATTATTTAATATTTTACGATAATTTGATATATATATATATTGTTGACAAAGCATTATTGTCAACTGAACTCTGCTTAGAATCGTTTTTTGTAAGCAATTGTTTATTGATGCTTACAGATATACATTAAATTCCTTTCTGTTTTCTACCTTTCCAATTTCCCACCTACAACAGTGGCTGCACCCACGTGTGAAGTATGTTAGTTATTTTTATATTTGAATACCTTTTACGGGAAAAAAATCGCATTATTAACAGCAAGGTTTTTATCTTATTTTGATCAATAATAAAAAAAAATAGTGAAATAGGTAACTATCATAATAATCTTGTGGTCTCTGGAGCACTGAAAATAATTAACTTTTTGTTGTTTGCCCTCATATAAGTCCTATGTTCGTTCTAAGGCACGTCCAGACTAGTGTTTAAAAAGATTGGCGAAATTTATTTGTCTTGTTTGATTGTTTGCTACATTAGCAAACATAATGCACATTTTGTGCGACCAATGGGTCACAGCAAAATCATTTTGATGGCAAAATGACAGTTGGATTACGATATCCATATTAAAGAATTTTGCAAAATGTTTATTTATTATTTATAAATGTAAATCCTGTCTTTTATTTTTAGTTACTTGATTAATGATACAAAACAATTTTTTTTTTTTTTAATAATTCATTTTAGTTTTTGTAAGCAGCAATTTCACAATAACAATAATAATAATAATTTATCATATAAATAAAAGAAAAAGAAATAAACCACTTACATTATGGTTTACATTTTCAATTTATGTAAATGTTTAAAAAAACATAAAAATAACACTACATAATAACTATTAACTTAAAATAAACAAATTTAACAATTGACAGAGTTTTTCAAATGAAATAAATAAATAAAAAAAAAAAAGGAAAAGGTTAATAACGCTTATCAAAATACAATTTTTTTTTCTTAAGTAACCTACCAAATATACATTTTAAAAATTTAAAAAATAAAAACAATAAATAACAAATACCTCTTAAATAATATACACAAATTAAACAAAACATTTTAAGGTAAAAATTATTATTATAGAACAATATTGCAAAACTTAAAACAAATTTTTACAATAATTTGTACTAAATTAGGAAGACCAACGACTAAAATGTTACTCTAACAGTAAAACAAAAGTATTTTTGGAGTGGGCAATAATATGTATCAGAATTATTCAATAATTTATTTTTAACTTTGTTAAATGACTAAATTAAAAAAATATATATTACATAATAAAGTTGATATTTTTATTAATATTCAGTCATATAAATTGCGAACATAGTTTTTTTTTTAAAATAGTGTTAATAATATTCAATTAAATAATTAAAAAAAAAAATTATGATTTCATTAGTTAATGACTATTTATATTTATGTTATTCCTTTCAAAGAATGTCATTGAACGATTCAATTGATGACCATTTTTGTTATTGAGAAAATGTTCTTTTTCAAAATTTGTTTTGATACCTAAGACTTTACCATATTCCCCTTTAGACGTGTATGAATTTTTTGGAATATCAACAGATTCTTTATTACCCATATTCAATTCAGTCTCAGATTCTTCATCAGTTAATTCATTGTTAATCAAGTCTATCATCTGATTACTGTCATTTAAAACTTCAATTGTGTCTTGATCCCTATTTGAGACATCTAATGAAATAATTTTTCTATTATTTTTAATATCATCAGTCTTTAAAATTGTGTCATTCTGAAAAGTGCTATTGTTTAATTTTATTTTTTTTTTAGAATTCAACACTTTTGGTCTTAATAGACAAGAATCAAGTACTTTATTATCAGTAATTTCAACAGATTTTGATAATTTACTATTATTGATCAACATTTTTTTTCTGACAGATGCATTCACATTCCTATTTAATATCCTTTGATCTATCCTTTTTCTATTAACTATAACATTTTGCAATTTATCTTGAATTAACTTTGAATTAAGAGTTGAATGGCTGCCTAATAAAGGTTTAGAATGTTTATCTTCATCATTATTTTTTGCCCGTAACCCATTATTTGGCATTGATATTACATTTGGATTTTTGGAATTATTATTTTTTTGAGTATTATATTTTGTAGTTACTGATGAGTTAATACTGGACATTTTTGTATATTCATGCAGTGATTTAGTACATATTATTTCATTTTTCTTTAGCATATTTTGATTTGACAATGTCACTGTTGAGGGTTTATCTTTTGGTTTATTGCTTTGAATTTGAATAGGTGTCTCTTCCTCCTCCTTATTATCATTATCATCATCATTACCATTATCACCATCATTGTAATCATCATTAACATCATTATCATCATTGTAATCATCATTAACATCATTATCATCATTGTAATCATCATTGTAATCATCATTAACATCATTATCATCATTGTAATCATCATTATTGACATCATCATTATCATCATCTGAATCAATCCGAAGACATTGAATAGTTTCTAAAGAAAAACTACAATTAGGTTTGCCACACTTGCACGTGAACAACTCACCTTTAATTTTCCAAAAAGCAGCACCATAATCATAACTGCACATAATTACATAAAATATGAATAAATTATTATAATACTATTATTGCCAATTATAATATTATATTTTTAATTTTGCTTACTATAATTGTTCATTTGGGGCTATGTTTTGGGTGGCGAAAAATGCAATTCTAGGAAACCTTTTATCGTGGTGATTAATAAACGATCGAACAGACAAAAGGTTTGGATCACACGAATGATTAATAAAACGAGAAACATTACTATAGTTGTAAGCATCAATACAATACAATTGATCAGCTCCCTAAAATTAAATTTAAAAAATTCAAAATTATTTTAAAAATAAATAAGTAGTATACAGAGTGATTTTTATATCATGAACCAACAATTATCTCTGAGGATTTAGAATGAATTTGATTTCTGTTTTTTCTAATTATAATGGAATTATTATAGCTTTATTTTAATTTATACACCTACTCTAAATACCTTAATTAAGTTCATACTTTTGCTTTTCAAATAGGCACCATTTTGAACAGATTTGAATAGAGCATTTTTTTCTAGAAATTTAAACCTAATTTAACTGAAGGAACAGGGAAATATAATACATTTAAAGGGTAATACAATTTATTACCCTTCTCTACTTCTTCAGTCTTAACTTTAAACTGATACTCATAAACGGTAAATCTGATATCAGTGTTATGCATATCAACATTTCTAGAAAAATATTTTATATTCAAATCTGTGTTCAAAAGGGGGGGGGCTCCTATTTGAAAAGTAAAAGTATGTAATTATTTAAGATATATGAAGTAGGGGTAAAAACTAAAAATAGCTTTAAAATAAAGCTCAAATGATTCTATAATGATTAGAAAAAACAAATCAAATTCACTTAAAATTCTTAGAGATAATTGCTGATTCATGATAAAAAAGAAAATCATATATAACACTATTTCGACTTACAGGATTTTCTAGATTGAATAAATAGGAATCTTCTTTTAAATCATTAGCCTTTTGATCAGTAATTATTTCACCAATATATCTAGTAAATATTAAATTTTAAAATTAGTTTTTGGTATAAACAATATTTATTAATTTTATATTATTATTAAATGATTTGTTAACTTACTCGCACACAAATGTACCTTGAGGTATAGCTTGTCGTGTCCTTACTCCCCAACCCATGTCTGTATGTTTGAACAATTCCAAGCTAATTTTTATACCCTTTTGAATAACTCTATTGCCACATTTTTGTTTATGACATCTACACCGCAAATTGCATTCATATATTATACCACTCGGATCTATTAAAAATATATTATGCATTTACAAAATAACAATACTATAATATTATTAATCTTGATGTTACCTGTCTTATATTATTTTTTATGACTTACTAAAATAATCGAAATTTGAATTCAAGCGTCCATTTTCATCATATAAACATTCACCATTAGTTTGTACACATTTACAATTACTCGTGTTACAAGGGCCTTCACAATTGCAACACTAAAAAAAAAGTTACAATAAAATGTAATAAAAATAATAAAAAAAAAACTTACAGCTATATGAGACATGGCCGAATCAACATGGTTTCCAACATCGTAACAATTTTCTTTAATGTATGTAAAGTCAACTGGTTGTTCATCATCAATTTCATTTACACATCTAATTGGAACATCTTCACAACCATAAGATATATCCCTATAGAAGTATAAATGATATGTATAACAAGTATAAGTATATTCATATCATTAATTATTAAACTTAAAATTTATAATAACTGACTTACTCAGATACAATTACAGAAGTTGTTTTAAACACAATTGGTAATTGGGCTATTTTCAACTTTGGTTCAGTATACTGTAAGTTAACTGGGGTTATTGATTGCTTGTCAGATATTTTTTGTTGATAACTTTTTAAAAGATTATAGCATTTAGAATTTGGAAAACAGCAATCTATAGGTTGTCTGTTCTTTTTGTTTTTATGTGATGCTTCGGCACCGTTTTCCAATAAAAATGATACTATATCAAAAGTATTTTTACGAGCAGCAATATGTCTACAGATTATTTATTATAAATAGATTATAAATTACATAGAATAAATATGATTGTTTATTACATACAATGGCGTGTCACCAGCATCGTTTGCCATATTCACTTCAGGATCATACTCTACCAAACATTTGACAACATCGAAACATCCAGAAATCGCTGCCCAATGTAATGCTACATTATGTTCCTCATCAGGTAGTCTCGTGTTTGGTTTATGAGTAATAAAATGCCTATTACACATTAACATTTGTATAACACAATAAGATTATAGTGGAACTACTAAATTATTATTAAATTTTCATACTCTACAACTTCAGTGTGACTATTTTCACAAGCCCACACAAGAGGTGTCCATCCTCCTTTATCTTTCCAATTGACCATGGATGGTCGTTTATTTGATAAAACCTTACAACACTCAAAATGTCCGTTTTTAGCAGCCAAATGTAGTGCAGTCATACCTTGTAAATCCTTAGATATATAATAAATGTAAAAATCAATATATAAATAAAAATATTACAAATACAAATATAACAAGTATACTACTTTAATTTCGGGAGCACCATTAAATTCTAGAAGATATTGAACGGCATAGCTATGACCGGATTTAGCGGCCAATCTCATTGGAGACTTCATTTTATCATCCACCACATTTGGGTCAACACCAGCTTGAAGTAATAAATAAATAATCATCAAATTTCCATTCGCACAAGCAGCATGTAATGCCGTTCGGTTACTAATCTTAGTAAATCTATACATAAGATTGCATTCCGATCCTGAAATATGAAAACAGTTTTTGTTTTAATTAATTTTCAAGTATCAAAACTTATTTGATATAAAATAGGTTTACAAATTCAAAATCATACCTATAATTGACAGGACTTTTGGTATATTGTTTGATTCACAAGCTTGGTAAAGTCCAGAGACTGAGTACCTATTTGATTATATAATATAAATCATTATTTTATATTAAATTATTTGTTTATTTATAAAATTTAGACCATGCGGCATTAAAATATGGTAAAAAAAATAGCAGAAAATAAGATATTAAAAAAAAAAAAAATACAATCAATACAAATATTATAAAGGTGTAATATTATAACAGTATACAATTATTTGACTATTGCTTTTAAATTAAAAAAAATGTTAAAGAAATTGGTTTTGAAGATTCTTTTTTATCTTGGCTTATTCAATTCTTAATAGTATATCATATCACCCATAATTATATTTTGTCAATAGAAACTATTTTGCACAAGACAATATGTGTCTTATTTTTTTCTTAACATAAACTTTTGATTTTTTATATTTACTTATTGTTTCACAGACAACTATTTTCCCGTAAACAGTTAATTTACATTATTAACAAAAAAATATTTTTGATAATAACATTCAAATTTTTTCCAGTATATTTAAAAAACATATTTTAATATATTAAACAAAACAGCAGAATAAGATGGACCGATCATGCATGGAGATCTAAGAAATACAGCATAACTAACTAGATGGAAAGAAAACTTAAAACAGCCCAGACAATGTTGAATAGCTACAACAAAGACATCAGGAAGATTGGGGTGGAGAAAACCAAGAAATTGTCAAAAGACAGGGAGAAGTTGAGAGACTTTGTTGTTGTGGCGATAGGTATTAATGATCTTTAAGATACCCAAGAAAAAGAAACAAAATTATTGTTAGTAAAATATCCCTATAAAATAATAATTGTAATAAATTGTTAATAACTTACATAATACGTTTGGAATCAGAAATTTCATCCTTCAGCTGTTGTAAATATGTTGACAACTCGGCTTTATCAATTTGTGGTGGACAACAAATTGTACTTAATTTAATATTTCCTATTTCTACAATAATATCGCTAGGTGTACTGCATCTTTCTTTCTTGGGTTTAACTATACGCCTTTTTAGTTCCACATCGTATACGTCGAGAACACCACAATGTAGACAACCTTTTTCTTTTTGATGACAACCAATGTGAGAAAAATGTTTATTTTTGCACATCATAAATATGCCCTGTGAAATAAATACAATTTTTAATTCAAATAACCAAATAAATAAACATTAATTTAATAAACCAACAGTTGATTAATGTTTGAATAATAAGAAATTATGATTAAGTTTGTATTGGAGCAAGTTAAATCTAATAATTTTTGAAATTTATATTAGAAGGTACATTTTTAAGTACAAAGATATTAAAGTACATCAAAATTCAAAAATCCAAATTTTGAAATCCTAGAATCTAAACCTTTAAAATACAAAATAGTAAAGATTTATTAAACCTGTATAACATAGTATTATACCATCATACATTAACGATTATACAAATAAATTGGTCTAGGTTAACATTTTTTGATAATATAAAAAGTTCAAAACTCTTCGATAATTCAAACTATTGAACGAGGTCAACAAAAATAAAATTAATAGTTACTAATAATAACATTAAAATTATATAAAGTATATCTTACTTCTGAGCAAAATCTTCCGCAACGTGGACAACTATGATGCAAAAAAAAACGTTTCATATGAAACGCACAAAATGACCCAAATGGTAAAGTAACATTTGCTCTTACCATGGGCATATTACCATAGTCATCTATATGGAAAGATAACTTCTTACATTTAATTAATAAACCATCGACACAATCTTCAGCTTTACAACTAACTATGCCTTCATCACACAAAATAACTTCAATATGATTATTACACAGGCACAAATTAACTTTATCTTGTATATTGTCAAGTGTTTTATCTAAAAAATAAAATAAAAATTGAATGTATTTACAAGAACACTATTACAGGGTCTTACAGTGTAAACCATTAGGTTAGCCATATGCTAATAAACGGTAAATATTTTATTTATTTTTTTTTGTCAATCGGGGTTTGTCTGGGGTACACAAATATAGAGAAAAATTTAACTTTTGCTTTTACTAAAAACAAAATTTTATTTTTCAACTTTTTAAAATTTTCAACATAACCAATTTATGAATTTGTATATTATATTACAAATTTTAATGTATTATAAATTCATATCCAATCAATAGTTTCTTAGTAATAACTATTGTAATATCTAGAGAATGGTGTAAAAAAAATAAACTCACGCGTCACACATCACGTCACACAGTAGCGAACCGTAGTCATAATATAAGATAAGAAATGTTGAAATTAAAATGACTATTACTAAGAAACTATTAATCGGATATGAATGAATGATACATTAAAATTTTTAAATATATTTTAAAAATTGGTTATTTTGAAAGTTTTAAAAAGTTATTTTTTTCAGTGATGAAAATAAAAATTTAATTTTTCTCTATATTTGTATCTTGACACAAAATCCAATTGAAAAAAAAAATGAGTTATTAGCCTATGAATAACATTGTAAGACACCTGTATATTAAAATAAACTTCATAAACATATTATGCAACTTAAAAAAAATAGCAATAATATTTAGTTTCTAATTTAGATTCAGTATTCTTTCTTTTAATATATTTAAGTAAAATGTTTTCAGTAAAATATCTTAAAGAACCAACAGCAATTTATCAAATGTATTTACCTAAATTAAACAAGTACAATATATTGTTACTCAACTATCCAAATAATTAGGCCAAGATCAAGTATGTATTATAATATAGTAAAGATACTTAAATATTGACTTATTGGTAATTATGTTTAGGTAAAATATTGCTTACTTAAGTCACAAGTTACTAAATAAATAAAATTCATGATTTGGTTATAATACAGAGTCAAATAACAAAAATTGGAAGTATCTATGAAAATAAATCTAATATTTAGTTAAGTATATTTTTAATGTTGGTATATATATATATATATATATATATATTATATAAGGTTCGTTTACAAGGTGAAATTCAAGATATCTTAGTTATTACAAACAAAATAGTAATGTCCATAATAAGGATGCAAGATTAGCATAAGAAAACTTTACAATATGCATTGCTAATAAAAATTAACTAATGAAAGTATAATCCATTTTACAATAATTCATTACATTATTAAAATAAAGATTTATAGAAATATTGTAATATACCTTCAGAGATACTTTCCACATCGATGTTAGAAAAACTAGATGTATCCATGTCATCATCTTGATCATTTCTATCACTTGACATCAATGTCCCAGCATCGCTACAAACTGAAAATAGAAAATAAAAATAGTTTCTATAACACCTTTAAGACAATAATAAAAATAGTTTACCAGAGGTGGAGTGTTTTTCTGAGTTAGTTTCTGATGAATCCAGATCAAAATTTGTACGATCCAAATTTAATTGATTACATATAGCTTTTTTAAATACACCCTTGTGCAGAGATTTTTTTTTGAAAATATTGTAACGTCCACCTTTAAAGACTTTTTTTTTCTTCCTTTTTTGATCTGTGGTAATTTCTTCACCTGGTTCCTCTTTGATTTGTAAATCATAATTAATATCAATATCTTCAGGTTCTATATCAACAGGAAAAACTTCATTTTTAACTTCAACAGGTTTTTTTATTTTTATTTTTTTTTTTGGTAATCTTTTCTTTACTTTTTCTTCGACACTGAATTTTTTTTCTTTTCGAGCTATAGCAGAATTCAACACAGATTGGTTATTATTACAATTAGATCTTCTTGAAGACCTCTTTAGAGGTACAATTTCAGCTTTAACAAGAGTTTTGATTTTATCGACAGGTTTTGTTCCTTTTGGGCTAGTAGAACTATAATCGGTAAGGCTACTGGAACTAACATAAGTATCAGGTTTATTTTCATTTGGTCTTAGTGTCAGTATAATTCTAGGTTTCTCCTGGTCAGTTTCTTCGGAGTTATTGGAAATTACTGATGTACTATCTACTTCTACCTGGTTTTCATACATTTTCTTTGTAGATGCAATGCTGGCAACTAGCTCTTCGTCAACTTGTCCATTTAATTTATGCATAAGTTCTGCTATCTCATCATCAGGGCTTTTCTCGACAGGAAGGTCTTCTTTAGAATTTTCAACAACACTTGTTGTTACCATATTATTTTCTTCTTTTAGGCTGTCATCGTTATCTGAATCTCCTTCGTTGATAAATCGGCTTTTCATTCGAGATAATATATCTTGGATTTCGGGTCTACTGGGTTTTTTATCCTTACAGTGATTCATGTTTTAAGTTCTGCAGGTACTTTAATAACTAAATGTGTTTTCTGATTTTCTAAAAAAAAAAAAAAATCTATTTTAAATACTTTTTAACAGCAACTATCTACATAACATAAAACTAAGATACCAAAACATAGGTTAAATCATCTTGTTATCGCATATCGATCCAAACAGTTAAATTATTTACATTATTGTAAATTTAAAAATATACCAAGAAATTAAGCATTCAATCTTTTAGGTATCATATTTATATTTTTTTCATCTTCCTAGCGTTGCATGTCAAACTAAAATTTCTATTGAATATTTCTATATGAGTACCTATAATATACATTTATAGGTAGTTTAACGATTAATTCATCAATAGGTCCCTAACAAAATACTATTAGGTACATAAGTACCTACAATAAATTGAAAACGCAATAGTAGGTAAGTTGATGATAATAAACCAAAGTTTACTATCAATAAATTTAAATTTAATGAAATTAAAAGTAGGCATTACATACCTACATATTAATTTTCACAAATAAATTTACAAAAATTAACTACATATTTTAAATAATTATATACAAGAGTACTCACTTACTTACTATTTGAAAAAAAATTAATTACACTTAATTTAGAAGAAAATATAAAATTTGAGTATATAATGTAAATGTTCTTTAATTCTTAATTAACAATATTAAATATTATATTACACTTATAATAAATGTGAATATTTATCTAAAATAGTCGGTACTAAATAACAAGTTGTCTGTATCACCTAACCTTGGTATTTTTATTTATTAAGATGACACCAAGTTTATTATACAGAAACAACCATACAAACGACTAAAATTGATAAAAGATGAAATATGTAAAATATTTTGGTCGGCTTACAATAATCTACCAGTCATCTACTATAATATGCATTGATTAAACATATCGATGAGCAATCTGGGAACTTTTTAAACACTAGTGATCAAAAACAAATACTGTGACTGAACTAATTAACAAATTGATGGCAAATACTAAGCTACTTTTCAAATTGCTTCAAGGAAAAATTGAGTACAATGTTATACCTACCTACCTAGGTAGGTATTAATTTATAGATATTTATACTTAAGTTGAAAAAACTTAAAAGATATATGTAGTCAGTAATTAATCATAGAACCATATACCTAAACAATAAATTCAGCTAAATTATAGAATTGAAGACTGATGCCGAAGTATGTGAAATGTACAATTGACAGAAATATAGAAGTAGACCTTTAACTTTAAACTTTTAGAAACGATAACTAGACGGAAACCCAATGATCGAATAAAACGGACTTCGGACGCATAAAACAGTACCTTTATTTGTCTATGGGTAATATTATCATGATTCATACCGAGGGTACTTACAATTTACGCAGTCATGAATAAAAATCTGCTGAAGCCAGTGGTTCGGACACTTCGCGAAAGCGATACCGCCGGCACTTTATACGAAAACACGATCACCAACGACATACCGGTAGACGGAGCACCACTTGTACATCTGACGTCGAAAAAATTTCGATCCGAAACTCGGGAAAACACAGAACAAGAAGACAGTAACGATATGGCGGCCGGACGAGGGAGGGGTGGCGGCGGTAAAGACAGAAACGGACAGCTCATTCGGCAGCACTCGAGCCTCGACGTCGGCGGCAGCGACGAAGATCTGTGTTCTTCGGTGAACGAAAACACGCACGATTACTATTGGTGCATACTGCTTACAATCGGGCGGCCACGGTTGCCAACTTCGACGGGACGTGCACGATTAGTGGTTACGTATTTCAATAATATTGTTTGTCGTCCGAGAGCTTTTACGGGACTGATGACGGTGACGATGAGGTATGCAGCCGTTCGGGGCCACAAGCGAATTGTTAGCTAGCGGCTACTATGAGGTTATAGTGGGATGACCGCGATTACAATACGGTCTTTGCAGCGCGGACGTCTACGCCATTGTCGTCTGTCCGAGTGGTCCACGGTCTTGGCCGATTTGCTGTTGTCGCCGCCGGGAGCCATTGCGTTTGTATTATATTTGTTCAACTACGGCTGTTACCCGAACCAAATCGCCAACAGCGGCGATGCGTTTTAATGTCGACCGAACAAGAGCCGATTTCCCGACGGCGATTTTGCGTATCGCGGCTCGTCATCGTCGCTGTCCTCAAGAAAACTAGATACCGCCTTGGCCCCCATTGTTTTCTTGGAAGAACCACGGCCAGAACCGTACAATATTAACCGGCGGCCCGACACCATCACGGGTCGTTAACCTCGCGGCGAGACCCGCAAGTCCGTCGTCCCTTCTACTCGGGCCGCGTTACTATAATTATACAGTTGGTAGGTTGACCTACGTCTGCATTGCCTACACGCACGCGTACAGCAATGACATAACGGGTAACCGTCATTACCGACTTGTACAGAAAATAAAAAAAATAAAAACAACAACATACGGTCGCGGCCGTAAACCGTGGGCAAAACCGTACGTACACGCGGAACGATTATAATAATAATAATACAGTCACACAGCGCTCGGGTCCGCTTTTTTCTATAGTAGCATAATAATATTATTATCATAAAAATAACGTTATGCACGTCCTGTTTACGATATTCGTTGTTCATGAACCCCACAGTAGCCAAAGGTTTGAAACAGAGGTACCTGTCGGGTTCAGGTTACGGGTATTATTGGCTCGGCACGATTATCGCGCTTCGTCCCAACGTCCAGCGTTGAGGCTATTGCGGTGACCCTGCGCCGCGGGACTAATATGGCGAGTTCTCGGCGGCGTACTGTCACGCTGTCACACCGCTAACCGGCGACGACGCGCGCACATCGATCGGTTCGGAGCAATACAGTATAGCTGCTGTGTCTGTCACGTCCGGTCGCGGCCACGTCTGCACGTAATGGGCAATACAATACCGATAGCAGTCGATTAGAAAAAAAAAAAAAAAATGGTACGGCCGCTCCCCCGAACGCGCATAAGACCGCGTTATCGGGTCCCGTCCACGTCCGCCGCGCTTGATATTTCATATTTGTACGGACCGCGGAACGGTTTTTTTTCTGTTACCGCGGTCGTGGTCTCGTCGCACGGCCGCGCGAAATCGTCGCCGCGACCCCGGGTGACCTTTCAACGGCCATTATCGTCGTTCTTCGCGCAAACAAGAGCGAACGAAGTTTTCGGGTTACACGTAATTCGCGTACGCGCGCGCTCACGAATAATATCATTACGTTACACAATACGTACGTGTACTACATGTGTCGAAACGTCTCTATTATCGTTTACGCAGACTGCGGCGGCGTTCGGCTCGGGGGAAAAGTACCTATAGATTGATTTTTCAGGAATTTCGGCGTACACCTCTTCGGTTTGTTTTAACACGGGATGGTGCATCACGATTTTCAGACATTTCATCAAAATTTCATTTCGTCTCGAAAATGTCAAATAGCATTGAGACAAACGGTTTCGATACATTTCATCATGGCTGAAGATATATGAGTATTCGGTGAAACGTCAGTTCTTTAACTCGCTACGATTAGTTTGCCCCGAAATACAACAAAAGCAAAACCTAATTAGAAACCTTTATTGGGTATACATATTCCAGTTTTCCAGACGGTTTTTTTCGGTCTTTACCATTATTAATGAGAAAATTACAAGGAAAATATTTCTGCAAGAAAAGTGGTTTACGGACAAACTTAGCTACCGGTTAGGACGTCAAGTTAATAATTTCGAAGGACGGTAATTTTTTTTTACATTCTATTGGTTCGGTCTTATAGACCCTCTTCTTTTATTTTTCCAATTCGAGCACCGATCGTTAAATAATTATTCAAAATCTCCCATATATTATTACCGTACGAGATCGACGACCTAAAACGCGCGGCGTTTGTCAAGACGTTTGTTTGCCAACGTTTATGTTACAATATGTCGTCAGCGTACTCGTATAAGTACTCACTACTGATAACCCTCATCAGCCGATTCGTAATCGTAAAATAATATTTAATAACATTAATAATTACCTAACAATATTGTATGGTCGAAATACAATAACATTGATATTAAAAGAGAGCGCGTGTATAATAAACCAGCTAAATTATTAATTATAAATTAATAGTACAAAACTGACTGTCCCGCACAGCAGCTCTGCTAGTGCACAGTATGTTTGAATAAATTATTATATTGTAGAAAATGATAACGTGTTTCCCGTGACTATTTCTTATCTCTTTGAGGAGTCAGTTTAACCATTATTATTTATGTAGACCATAGACCCATAAAGAAAGGTTAAGGTTAGGTTTCTATTTAGGTAACTACGGTATATTACATTATGTTTGACACTGTTAGATGTCTCCGGACCGTGTTTTGAAAATATCTCCGTATGTTCTGCACGATACATTTTTATTTAATTCATTGTCCGCACAAGGTGTTTCAAACTAATTATTCTTTATTCATTGTTGACAATTTTCAGCGTATTTAAATAGTGAAACCGGTGTGTTTCTCAGCTTTTTAATTGTAAAAAATAAACACGTTTGTGGACCTATAAACACCGCGGTAACGTAAGACACCTACCTTTAGAAAAAAAAAATGTTGAAAATCGGTTCAGTTGGTCTTTACGATTAGTGCGAGCACGTCAGCGCGTTCTCTCTTTATACAAACGGAATATTTAAAAAATATATTATTATCACAGATCATACAGATTATATAATCTGCGATATTATACTTATGTATAAATATTTTTTTTTGGTACTATTACCGTAGTTAAATAATTTCGTCATACTATAATATCTATATACTTACATATTATAGGTATATTTTTATGATATTAATAAATTTTAAGTGTTCAGAGATGTTTGTATGGTCGGTAGGTCAGGTTGTTAAATAGTTTTTGGGGAAATATTTTTAATTTCTTTCGTTAATATATTTATACATGTACTACGTTTGACCTATATTTGTATTGAAATCAGCTGTATATTATACGTTATGCAGACGTCATTATAGACTATTTTTCGGCCGAATAAATGTATTCCCTTTATCAACCATTATTTTGTAACGTCCGTTTTCACCCCTACAGAATACTATTTTGGTGACTTCTGTAAGTAAAACCGCCATTTTTTTTCTCCAGAATTTTGATTTAACTGACATATTTTATAATTTTCACGCATTGTGTTTTTAATGGTTTTATGTAAGTAAATGTTGTACGCGTGTGCCTACTTTGTTAATAACCTAACAACTACAAATTAATAACTACCATTCTATAGCTATTGACAATATAGTAGATAAGTAGATAGTATACAGTATACACTATTATGATGAAAGTGTAAATACCTAGTGATTTAAACATACGTACCTATCTGACTGGGAGTTAGAGAAAGGTTACACCAACGTCAATAAACAGATATTTAGAGATCCGTTCTTATAAAAAGTAAACTATTCAGAAAATGTGAGTATCAAAGTCATATACACTGTAAATATTATATAAATAAGTTCAAAATTCGAAAGCGGACGACGGAAAGTATTGTTAGGTACTAATAAGTTACCGCGACAACAATATTCTTGTCTAGTACCGACACGAAACTACGAAAGGCCAAGGGGGAAGTGAGTAGTGATTAGTGAACGAGTGGAGGGCGGTGATCTCGTATGAAGCTCACGACTGTAGCGCCCTCTAAGATATGATGATAAAAAGGCCAACCGTCGAGGCGTCGACGGCTTTGGAAAGCAAATGATAATACAGTGAATAGGTAAGCAAGTATAATTATACAAATCATACAATTTACGATGGTAAAAAAAAAAATGTTCAATTAAATAATAATACAAACACATTTAATACATTAACTGTGGTGGGTTATCACAGGATAATTTATTATTTGGAAAAAATGCATTCATTAACGCATTTACTTTTAGACTTTTATTTGGTAAACAATTGTCGGTAACGGTAAAAAGTTATTGAAAATATAATGCAATACATGATTTTAAATGACATTAGTTGATAAGATTTGGAAAAATACATTTACAAAAATTGTATAGGTAAATCTCAGTGAGTATTTTTTTTTTCATCATATCTTATTATGATGATCAAAGAACCCCCTTATTAATTTGTCTCAAACCCCAAAAAACTTAAGAACATCTATGAGCATATACATAGGTACCTAGTATAATTTTGAAAGCAATATTACTTATATGGGAATGGAGTATCTTAATAAATTCTTCAGTAATTTAAGCGTACCTCTACTATTTAAAGCGAAACGCACAGGACACATTAATGATGGATATAAAGGGGGGCACCAAGCAGAGATGGATCCAGGAGGGACCTAGGGGCCCAAGTCTCCCAGACATATTATTTCTCCAATTTTTTATAATTCTATAGATTCTGGTATTAATATATTTCAATCACAGACATGTATGATAATATGAATTGCACCACATCTTCTCGTTTTTAAAGCTGTTATAATTGGGCGTTAGTTCTTATTTCGCATTTCTTTTTGGTGTAGTTGAATACGGATCCTTACATTTTTCTTAGAATTTTCTCAAAAAGACGTAATGTTTTATCATCAACTCTCTTCGTTGTCTATGTGACACACGCATATGTTAATACAGAGTGGATTTAATTTATGTATAGATATTCTTTTGTTTTTCTTGACAACAGCTTACATTAGTTAGCATCACCGAGTACCGAGGTACTTGAAATTTTGAACTTGTTTAAAGGTGGTATCCGTATTACCCACGTGGGTGTTATTATAATCATCCCTTCCTTGTATTATCGCCATGTATTTAGTTTTTCCTTCACTGTTAATTGCTAGGCCAATACTTTTTTCTATCTTTATCATGTTCTACAACAGTACTCTGAATAATCTCTCGTGATTTCCCAATGACTACTATGTCGTCTGCATATTCTAGTAAAACATTTACTTCGTTAAGGTTTAATGTTTTAGTTCGTGGTATTTTTCTTATTATACTCTCCAGTGCATATGCATATAAAAGTATATGTCTATGCTCCAGTGCCATTTTGAAGAGCACTAACATCGTTTCTCCTTGTTTCAATCCACTATTAATTATAAACGAATATCTTGATATCAAGATATGATATGATATCTTGTTGTTCACTTTAACTCGGCTTTGTATTACATAGTTGTATCATGTTAATTAGTTTATTTAGTACACCAAAATGTTTAAGAATTTTTCATAGTCTTTCTCTG